TGCTCTTCAGTCCTGGGAAATTTTCTTGAATTATTTCTTTCATTTTATCTTTTCTTTGTTCAGCAACCGCTATAGTCAGATAATGGAACTCCTTGAATTATTCTCTAGTTTTCCTATTTTTTTCCCTCCCATTTTTTGGAGTGAATTACTTACATAAAATTAACTTAGTAAACATATCTTTATTTAAAATTTTGATATTTTACCCCTCATTTATTTTTTTCTGATTGACTTATTTTTATTTATTTTAGTTTCAGATGTAGAGTTCAGTTATTTGTTAATTGCATATAACACCCATTGCTCATTACATCAGGTGCCCTCCTTAATGCCCATCACCTAGTTACCCCATCCCTCACCCACCTCCCCTCCAGCAACCCTGTTTGTTTCCTATAGTTAAGAGTCTCTTATGGTTTGTCTCCCTCTCTGATTTCATCTTATTTTATTTTTCCTTCCCTTCCCCTATGATCCTCTGTTTTGTTTCTTAAGTTCCACATATAAGTGAAACCATATGATAATTGCCTTTCTCTGATTGATTTATTTTTCTTAGCATAACTATACCCTCCAGTTCCATTGAAGCTCAGATATCCATTGACAGATGAATGGATAAAGGAGATGTGGTATATATACACAATGGAATATTACTCAGCCATCAAAAGGATGAAATCTAACCATTTCCCTCATTGATTTCTTTGTATTAATATTGATTTTTTTAAATATTGTGTTCAAATAAAGTGTGTTATTTATATGATTATTAAGAATTTGGCAATTTTGGGGCGCCTGGGTGGCTCAGTTGGTTAAGCGACTGCCTTCGGCTCAGGTCATGATCCCAGGGTCCTGGGATCGAGTCCCACATCGGGTTCCCGGCTCAGCGGGGAGCCTGCTTCTCCCTCTGACCCTCTCCTCTCTCATGCTGTTTCTCTCTCACTTGCTCTCCAATAAATAAATAAATAAATAAAATCTTTAAAAAAAAAAAAAAAAAGAATTTGGCAATTTTGCCCTTAGGTGGAATGCTTCACTCTCTTCGCTGGTCCCAGGCCTGCTTGGAAGTCCCAACTGAATTTTCTAAAACACTGTGTTGGTAAAGAGAGAATGAGTTCTCCTTACTCCTGCTGTTTGGTTCTTTTGGAGTTTAACTTTTCTTGACCTACAAGGCACTCCACTCAGGGAATTGTTTAGAGACAAATTCTGCCCACTAGGAGGAGGAGGAGAAGTGCATTCTCATCCTATGGGTGGTTTAAGTCCTAGGGGAGTGGGGAGAAGTGAGGTGTCATGGTCCTGCTCCCCACCATGTATTTACACTGCTGGACAGACATGGCAGGCTCCAATTAGAATCCAGGAAATAAAGTCTCTAAACATTTATGTCCTCAGTGGCTCCTCACACAGCAGATGGTGAAAAGAGCCATTTACACATAATCAATAAGAAGGAAAAAGGTCAATAGTCCACATCCAGCAAACTCTCACCTTTTAAATTATGTTTCATTTAAAACTTGAACTCACCTCTCCTTCTCCTGCTAAAAGAAACTACATTGCATCATTTGGGGTTACTCTATAACTCTTGTCCTCTCTTAGCCACCAGTTGAACTGTTTATGAGTTCATATTGAGTGAACATTTCTAAAAGGCTTGTAAGGGTCAGCTATCTGGCTGGGCAAAGTCAACAGATATACCAAATGCCATTAATTTATTTTATTTTATTTTTTTAATTTTATTATGTTATTAGTTTTTGATGTGGTGATCCACGATCCATTGTTTTTGTATAACACCCAGTGCTCCATGCAGTACGTGCCCTCCTTAATACCCATCACCGGGCTAACCAATCCCCCCTCCCTCCTCCCCTCTAAAACCCTGTTTGTTTCTCAGAGTCCATAGTCTCTTATGGTTCATCTCTCCTCCAATTCCCCCCCACCTCATTTTTCCCTTCCTTCTCCTAATGTCCATTAATTTATAGCAGGTCTTGATTTATAGCTCCATAGTTGTGTGGTTATTTGTTTAGTGTCTCTCATCCCTTTAGAGTGTCAGGTTCATAATGCAAGGATTTTGACTTTTTAATATTTAGTGCTTGGCCCATGGACTGAATGCAGCAGGTAGAGAGACCAACCAATATCGAATGACAATGGGAGAGGGGCCCACCTCCTCCAATGGCAGGAATGTCCATGGACCTGTCACTTACCTCACCACTGCCACACCAACCACAGGGCCCAGCCACCAACACTTAGATACCACCTGGTTATCCAGAATTGGCAAGATTAAGTTTGGCCTTACTGAGAAGAATGGGAGCTTGACAGCTTAGGAACAGACACATAATCTTCCTTTCATTTTTGCACACTTGAGATTGTGACCTGTGAAAGTTGAATGAGATGCACAAATCATTCCAGAGCAACACTGGCTCTCCTACTGTGAGCAGTTCTCTTGGCCACTAGAAATCAGGCCCAGCTTCTCAGAAGAGGTGCCATATGGGCTCACGATACAACGGGATGAGACTATTAGACAGCCAGGGCTCCTTGCATCACTGAGTTTCTGCCAACCTGTCCACCTACACTGATATCTGAGCCTAAGGCTTCCCTGAATGGTATTTGAGATTCAGTTTTGACCAATAGCTAGGGAGACTGAGAAAGCAGATAAATCCTTCACTGTTGAGGAGGAAGCAGTTACTTTTCCTTGGCTGTGCTATAATTATGTTAGATTCCTCTATCTTCAACTGGAATGATGTCTGTGTCTTAGATATATTTTTACCTCATGCATTTAGATCAGAGTTTGGAAACTTCATGATGAGCATAGTACAGGAAGGAGTAGATGAGAGCCACGGGGTGTGTGAGGTGTTCTTCTGGCACACAGTGTCTTCCTTTACACCTTCTGTACAGCTCTGAGGATGTGAGTCCCCTCACGTCAGGTGTTCCCTTCTGAGGAAGGATGGGGTACAAAGCTCACACTTCTAATGTGTCCCTTTGCTGACAGGTCATCTGCATTAGTTCAGTGCTGGCTGCATTTTAGTCCCCAGTAACAACTAGACTATCACTATCAGGATAGATTCCAACCAGCTGAAGCAAGCCCTGAGGTGAATAGAGCAGGCAGATGCTCATATTAGGCTTACTTATGAAATCATCATAGATAAGTTTGCATTTTGGAGGGGGATGAAAGCATATAAGTTGCCATAGAGGCTTAGTTTCAAGTAAAATAAGAAAGGCTTTATGTTTAGGTGACAGAATTAAGTTGTCAAGAATTATCAGATGAGGGGTGCTCGGGTGGCTCAGTCGTTGGGCATCTGCCTTCGGCTCAGGTCATGATCTCAGGGTCCTGGGATCGAGCCCCGCATCGGGCTCCCTGCTCTGCAGGAAGCCTGCTTCTCCCTCTACCACTCCCCCTGCTTGTGTTCCCTCTCCCGCTGTGTCTCTCTCTGTCAAATAAATAAAAAATCTTTAAAAAAAAAAAAAAAGAATTATCAGATGAGACCGCCTGGGTGGCTCAGTGGGTTGAGCGACCGACTCTTGGTTTTTGGCTCAGGTCCAGACCCACACTGGGCTCTGAACTCAGCAGGGAGTCTGCTTCAACAATCTCTCCCTCTGTCTCTCCCCCCACTCATGCTTACTCTGTCTCTGTCTCAAAAAAAAGTTATCAGATGACACACATCTTTCCTTGTTTGCACATATTCTCTGTAGCTCTCTGCTGAGGAATATAGGGAGGGAGAGCCTACCCAACAATATCCTTAGTATCATCTTGATTAACATCTGTCTTCCCTGCTGAGATGAGGCGGACCTTTATCCTGGAAGACCCATGACGATGCTGCTGTGCAGGTTGCCATGTAGATGGGAACAGATTTTTAACCAGTTTGCTCTGTAGCCTGGATCTCACTATTTCCCATAGTGTCCCTTCTCAGGGAAGGGCAAACATTGAATATCAATACTGCAGAGCGCCGAGGACTTTTCAATCTCACTTCATGTTTGCTTATTTACAATTTGTTCTTATGATCAGTGGCTGTTGGAAACCCAATGCAGTCACTGAGTATCAATTTCCACATCTGTAAACAGGGATAATAGTGTGACCCTATTGAATGGTGCCCAGTGAAGGCACCAAAAGGGGGCAGAAATATTTTGGAATTCCTGGGTCTTTTCCCCCTACTTTTACTGGGGATTATCTTCCAGCTTCCTATGTCTTTCCATTTTTTGGTATTCAAGCATGGAGCCACTTCTCTCTTAATACCTCCACTGTCCCAGAGATTCCAGAGGTATGCTACATAATCCACAGTTTCTCAGGCCATGCAGACACAAAACGTGGGTCAGAGTGATGATATCGAGCAGGTGTAATTTCCAGATACTCTGTCCCTGGATCTCCCAGCAGGTATGTGGCATGGTTCGAGAAAGTTCCACAGAAAGGACACACAAGAAGCCCAGCAATTTCACTGCAAAAACTCAAATCCACTAACCTTTCTGGATGCCCACTGAGGGCATAATTCTAGGGACTAGGGACTAGGGACATAATGTTGACAAGTACTCAGACTGCACCCTTGAGAAGCTCTCTATTTAAGACTAATAGGTATGGAGACCAACAATAGGGCTGGAGGGTGGAGAGGACAATAACAGAACTGGGGCTGGGGTGGGGGCATAAATTTCCCAGAGGAGGACGTTGTTGGTTATATGTGTTCAAGGAGGTTGGTGAGGAAAGGACCTAACACGGGATTCTGTTGGAGCTGGGTTTGAAGGATGAGTAGGATCCTTCTAAGGGGCACAGGGGCATTTCTAGGCAGATGAAACTACATGGGTAAAGATGTGTAGATCTACACATTCTTGTTTGAAGAGTTTCAAGTATTTAGGGGTGCAGGGAGCCATGCTGACAAGGATGGGTTAGAGATTTAAGGACAGTGACTTTACCTGAGTTTCTGTAACCTTTGAGATTACTGATAACACTGACTGTGTTGTTTATTGATTTTGGACAGAATATGAACTCAAAGGTCAGTCTGAGGAGTGTCCATGATGCTTTACCAACACTCATGGCTGAGGGGCACCTGCTAGTGACTGCACGCCAGTCCCGCCCCCTTTTCAGTATATACATTCCAGCCTCACTGAATCACCGCTGGTGGGAAGGGAAGCTCTGCACACACAGGCAAGCAAAGACTAGCACACACTGCTGAATGACAGTAGAGGAGATTCACAGAGAGAAAGTGGCCATGGACCTGATTCCAAGCTTTTCCATGGAAACCTGGCTTCTCCTGGCTACCAGCCTGGTGCTGTTCTATCTGTAAGTAACTGTCCAGGTTCATTGCCTCTGGAACCCTGGACTTGGGCTGCTAATCATCATCCACCCCCTTTTCCTTGTCTGTTTTGAGGATCAAGAGTTAACAAAGGGGAAGTTGCTTAAGTGTTGGGTGCTTCAAACAAGCTAGGAACACATAAGGGGTTATTACTGACCTCACCCAAACCTACTGAAGGAGTAACTCCATTCTCCAATCCCTTTTCTGTAGCTAGCAGGATTGCGTGACATTATTTGCTCCTAGGGATGATCTTCTGATTGGCCACCAGTTGGGACCTAGACTAATCAAGCAGAATTCAGCAGAGGCAGAGTAAAATCAACAGACCCCAGTGCTCTGGGGTTTTCACCACCTTTCCAAGCTGTGGGGATTCTAGTGGCTGAGGGATTGGGTTGCATCTTTGTCTCATTATCTTCACCTTCTGATCTGTGTCTGCTGCAGGAGACATGTAGAAGGATTGGGCCTGGATCACTAAGGTGGTCCTGCTCCCTTCCCTCTGCCACCAGGCCCCATGTACACAAAGCACCTGGTGCATCCAGACTTCCAAGGGGGCTGGAGATACCTCATCTTCCTCTTATGACCGGGCTCTTCCCTCTTTTCTGTGCCCCTCTCCTAGCCATCTCCCCACTCTATAATATGCAGAACTCCTTACCCCTAAGTGAGCATCTTTAGAGCTGAGGAGACTTGGCAGAAATCTTCAAATTTTATTCATTTTACCTTTTCCTTCCAGTCTCTGAGATAGTTAGCATCAGTATAGAGATTTCTTCCCCCTACCCCCCAATATGAAATCTGCTAGCAGCCTGAAAGACAGAGCCCTGAAAGCCAATTTGGATTTTAAATATGTTTTTGCCTTTATGTTACAGTACAATAGGAAGACTCAACCCATCTAGCAGAGGAATTCCTTTCAGTGGTGGGATTTCTGGCATCATGGAGGAGGTTGGGAAAGGACTTAGTTTCACAGTGTGGGTAGGGACAGACCCTCCATGTCACATTTAACCTCTGTCTCAATTTCACTTTCTTTAAGTGTAGGAAATCATGAGGACATGGACATAGAATATGGAAACCTCATTTTCATTTTCTGAGAAAAAGAGTAGGAATGCCAAGTATTGTGGCAACATATTTTTTGTGTGATGACATTTAAGGTTAATTGATGTGGTTTAATTTCATTGTATTTAATAATGGATTTTTTGCTGGGTTAAGACTATTTCCAGCATGTTCTTCCGAAGGATAAAAGAGGGCTGTTGGTTCAGCCTTTTTGACAGTAAAGGTACACAGATAACCTCAGCCTTCTAGAATAATGTTGAGAATATGAATTTAGTGTACACATGCATTCTTCTATGATATAGGCTGTGTATATTTTTAAGTACATGGGCCCAGCAAGTTATTTTAACCTCTCAGCACAGGCAAGTGGGGGAACTGAGCCAGTACTGATGTGAGAAGTATCCAGATAGGACTGGGGATGGAGTGGGAGAATATTCTTCCCTCAAGCAGACCTCCCAGAGATACTCCTCGATCCTGGTCCCACAGGAGGTCATCACAGAACTGCAGGGTTAGCATCTCATCTGCTTGAAGCCAGGGGACAGGATCACCATGTAAACCATACTGTGTGTAGTCTGTCTGGCAGTGGGACTGTCACTGGATCCTGTCACCACCAGGCAAACAACCCTGTAGACTTAGCCAAGAGTGTAGCCAAGAGTCAGTAGCTATAGACTGTGCTGTCTGCATGCAATACAATGTAATGGCAATAAAAATGAATGGCTTCATTGTTAGGCCCTTCATTTGTGCCAACAGCAGCATGACTCTACCAAGAAGAGGGAAGCTGGAAAGAATCAGAAAAATTCACCCAGCCCACCCTCTGCCTTCTTATGGAGCCATGTGAGTTTAGACACTAGACCAGATCCTTCCTTGGGACCAGTGTTGCTGACATGTTTACTCGCTTGGCCTCACTTGGGAGTTCACGTAACATGTTGAATGTTCAGAAACAGAAATTGATTTGTTGTGGCGGTGATGGCAAAGAAGGAACAGAAGTGGGACTAACCGAGGCCACTCCAACTTCTGGCAGTTGGTGCTCATGCACCCATGAACTGTTCTGGAGGAAGTACCAAACACCCACCTGGGCCCAGCTGTGATCCCTCTGGTGGTCCCTCAAGCACATGTCCTTTCATGCAATTCTGTAGGTTTATTTGATTATGTAATACAAGATTTGCTGAATTTCTACAGAATATTTGGAACCTGTACTGCCATAAAGGCTAACCTCCAAAGAGGAGGAAACAAAATCTTAATTCAACTCTGTGGAACATTTTATAGTTAATCATTTTACGTTTTGTAACATGTTCATCTGCTGTCAATTGGAGGTGTCTGAACTTTGGAAGGTCCCCTGTCTGTTAGCTAAAAGCACCTACAGGGCTTGTTGAACCATTTCTACCTAGCATTCTTTCCCACCATACTTTCCTAATTTGCCACTGTGGGGTTAGCCTTGTAGGCCTGGCAAGTTCACGGTTGAAGTGGTTTTTGGCAGCCTTTTCCCTCAGCCTCTCTTCTTCCTCCACTCTGCCATCTCTCAGCAACACCTAAGAGGAAGGCTTGCGAAGATCCAGAACACCAAGTTGTGAGATTCCTCTTAAATCTCATGAAAGATGAAGTATGGGCAGTTCTGTCATAGGGGGCACCATCCATAATGGGTTTCTGAGATAGTTGATGCACAGAGTCAATAACCTGACAGCTTTGTGAATGATCATCTTGAAAAAATTGAGCGTGCCTGGCAGTGTGCTGAACACATGAGTATCACAGGTTGGAAAATCAGATGTCACACAGGGAGGAATGGTCTGGAAATGGATTGTTTAATCACTGATTCCTTAATATGGTATCATTAAGGGGACATATGGGTCAGTTCCCCTTCTCTGCAGCTCAAGAGAACCAGAGTACCTGACAACAGAGACTTGGGTGGAGCTGAAAGCATCTCACTTTTCAGTGAGGCCAGTGGAGCCTTGGACAGAGTTTTCATTGTACAGAAATGAGAACACTGTCGTTGCTCAAAGAGTCTCAATGAACATAGATTTAAGAAGGACCAGATCCCAAACAGCAACAGGGCCTACAAGGAAGGAAAACCTCTGAGGAAACTATAAGAACATTTTCATGGTAGGCTCAGTAACCCTCAACTATTGAGTGGGTACAATTAAGCAAAGTCTCATCATCAGAGGAGAGAAACAATTTTTCCCCTTTCCACCTAGAATGAGAATCTCCAAAATCATGGAAGAGTCATTTACTAAATAGGCATGAGTGAATTTCCTGGAAGAAATCAGCATGAAACTCTGAGGAGCTCTCAAGTGTGGACACATTTCTCAGCTGTTCATTCCAGGATTGAGACCATGACTTTTTCAGCTGCTCCTATCTAATCATTACTTTTGTGGGTCTCACAGTAGAGGTGGGAAAGGAGATGATGAGTGAATGTAATTATTGTTGTTGGAATTGCTGTTATTATTTCTCGCCTACGTGTTACCTCCCACCCTTGCCTGTTCCAGTTCTGCATCAGTGACTGACCAGCCCCAGCACCTATTCCATCATCCCTGTGACCTGGCTTTCTCTTTCACTTTATAGATATGGGACCTACACACATGGACTTTTTAAGAAGCTGGGAATTCCTGGGCCAACACCTCTGCCTTTTTTGGGAAATATTCTGGACTACCATAAGGTGAGTGTTGTTTGAGCTCCCTCTTCTGCATCTTATATTTGCTAATCCCAGCTTAATTCCATAGTGAATATGCTCGTCCTCAGGAAGAAGTGCTTAGGTTTCAGACTTCCCAGAAGTGGTGTCACAGGCCCCACCCAGCACATGGCCAGGTCTACCCCAGGGCTCTATTGTCTGCTGTTAGGAGCCTCACGGTTTCCCTCAGTGGGCAACCCAGCTCTCTGATTCTGTACAGGACTTGATGTTCTAGCTTGTGAGCATTGTGAAGAGGCTTTTGTTTCTGGCAGGTGCAGATTCCCAGGAAGGCATAATCATACTTGGTATGAGGAGAAGAGCATCAAGGGGGTCCATGCTAGTGGTCCATTAAGCTGTGTACCCTAGAGTCAGACTTTTAAGTTCATAGCACGATCTCTGGGTAGACTTCTCATTTTCCTGGATAGCTTGGAACTTCAGTTTATTGGGAAGCCCAAGATTTATTTTTGGGGAATTTGCACATACTTGACTTCCCTCAAGAACTGGCCAACCCCCTGCAGTTATTTCCATGGCTCTAAGTCACCCTTTGTCACCTGTGACATCTTTTGGGATTTGTGAGGTTGAACCAGAGTTCTCTGCTTTACTTTTCTACCTTCCAAGGAGGCACCTTCTGGGTGAGTTGAGCAGGGAGGAAGTTTTGCTGAGGGGAGGTGGTGCTTCTCTATTGACTTCAGATTTTAATTTTTGAACAAGTTGTGCATGTGTGTTGTTGTGCACACAATGGTAGAACCACTCATAAAAAATCACTAGAAAAGAGACGCTTTGACAAAATTATTGAGAAATTAATGTAACTCAGTGGAATGTACTATCTGACACACACACACTAAATGTTGGTGGAGCCTTTGTGGTTAATCCAGGGCTAATACCTCACCTGAGGCTGGGCCTCTGGACAGAATGTTAGGAGCTCACATCTAGAAGGCCAGCAGGCAGTCTGCAGGCTGCTCTCTGCTGTAGAGTTCCTTTCCCACAGACCTGAGGCTTGTTTCTCAGATCCCACTCCTCCCCACTGAGGCTTGCAGTGCCCAGTACTGCCTAAGAACTCCTAGAGTTTTTCCCTCCAAAACAATAATTTCCTTTCCACTTTTCCCAGATTGACTACTTAGTAGATGAACCCAAGACCCATATTTCTTTGTGTAGTTGAAACATCAAATATCCCAACAAAACTTAGCAACAGGAAGTTCTGTTGTTGTTTTTTTCAAGTGACAGAAGTGAAAACACAGAGCAAATGTTTTTTTATTTTTATTTTTTTTATCATTGTGTTCAGTTAGCCAACATATAGTACATCATTAGTTTTTGATGTAGTGTTCAACGATTCATTAGTTGCATATAACACCCAGTGCTCATCACAACACGTGCCCTCCTTAATATCCATCACTGGTTACCCCATCCCCCTACCCCACCTCCCTTCTGTAACCCTCAGTTTGTTTCCTGGAATCCAGAGTCTCTCATGGTTTGTCTCCCACTCTGGTTTCTTCCCATTCAGTTTTCCCTCCCTTCCCCTATGGTCCTCTGCACTATTCCTTATGTTTCACATATGAGTGAAACCATATGATAATTATCTTTCTCTGCTTGACTTATTTCACTTAGCATAATCCCCTCCGGTTCCATCCATGCCGATGCAAATGGTGAGTATTCATCCTTTTTGATAGCTGAGTAATATTCCATTGTATATATGAACCACATCTTCTTTATCCATTCATCTGTTGAAGGGCATCTCAGCTCCTTCCACAGTTTGGCTATTGTGGACACAAGCAAGTGTTTTATCTTGCTCTGTCCTCTGTGGAGTGGTGGCACCATCCCTTCTTTTGCATGTTGAGGTGGACAACTGGAAGGCGAGTCCACCTTGTCATTCATTCACTCATCTCTCACTTTCTCACTCAACAAACATGTCTTAGACTTCTGTAATTCTGCTAGACTAAAAGAGGTCACTGGTGTCTTAATTTCCTAAATCCCCTGGAATTCTAGTAGGGCTCCTGAGATCAATGAGCGGGATGCTGACTGCTGGTTCAGAGGGTGCAGGCCATGCTTACTTTCCCTCAGCTCCAGTTTTCCCACGTGGCCCTGAGGTAATAATTCAGAGGATTCTGAGATTTAGAGAAAGCACAGGCACAAGCCAAACAGGCCAGAAATTCAGAGGTTCTGTAGTCCTCACAGACAAGGTAAGTTGTTCAGTATCTGCAATACTTGGAGAGGATTCAAGAGGGACTTGAATTTCTCCATTTCAATATCCTCTTGTTTTCTCTCCTTTCCAGTAAGACACCTGTGATAAGAGCTTCCCTCTGACTGCCAGTGAGAGGTAGTAAGCTGCATTTCATGTGATCTGAGTCCTTTTCATCCCTGTAGGAGGTAGGGCTCAGATCATTTAGATTAGTAATATGTTTTGTTTCTTCTTGCAGGGCTTTTGGAATATTGACAAGGCATATTTTAAGAAATATGGAAGATTTTGGGGGTGAGTATTCTGGAAACTTCCATTGGATAGACTTATTATGATGAAGCCCCCGTGGTGTGAACAGTCTCAATCGAGATCCCCTTGGGTTGAAGCCTGCTGTAGTAAAGCTTCTGGTGTCTCTCCTTCCTGGGATCCCATGTATCACCAGGTGTGCAGATCTAAATGTGATCGGACCTGGAGAACTGCAGGTCATCACTGATCTCCAGACATTGGTGCCCGCGGACTCCTAGCATCGCTTTCTACCCTGTCTTGTGATTACCGTCTTCTCCCCTTGCCCTCCTTATGTCCCCTTTAATTGCAAAAATGCATTATTTCAAGCCTTTCTAATATGTGCCTATCAGTGCATCTCATTACCTCTTTCCCACATGATTCACTTTTCATTAAAAGCCAAAGATCCCTTATTTAAAGTTTGGATTAAATATGTCCTTTTGAAAGGTGGGCTGTGGGAGTATCGGTGGACAGAATGGGAAGCCTTTCTGCTCAGTTTTTTCTTAACCAACTGAGCCACCCAGGCGCCCGCTGCTCAGTTTTTTCTTACTTTCTTTGCAAGTGTGGAGTTTGTTTTGTTTTTAATATGAGGCCAAGACTTTTCTTTCAATACAAGTATATACAAGTGTTTCTTTATTCTACAGACATGAAGAGATGTAGAATATTTCTTTTTTTTAAGATTTTACTTATTTATTTATTTGAAAGAGAGAGCGAGAGAGCACAAGCAGGGGGAACAGTAGAGGGAGAGGGAGAAGCAGGCTCCCCGCCAAGCAGGGAGCCTGATGCGGGGCTCGATCCCAGGACCCTGGGATCATGACCTGAGCCGAAGGCAGACATTTAACCATCTGAGCCACCCAGGCGCCCCGATGTAGAATATTTCTTTTTCTTTTTTGATGTAGAATATTTCTAAACCACGGTGTTTTGTTTTGTTTTTTTTAAGATTTTATTTATTTATTTGAGAGAGAGAGAATGAGAGAAAGCACATGAGAGGGGGGAGGGTCAGAGGGAGAAGCAGACTCCCCGCCGAGCAGGGAGCCCGATGTGGGACTCGATCCAGGGTCTCCAGGATGGTGACCTGAGCTGAAGGCAGTCGCTTAACCAACTGAGCCACCCAGGTGCCCCTAAACCACGGTGTTTCTTGGTGCACTGATGGACTTGGTGATTTTGTAGAGTGGCCACTGCTGCTTGCAGTGGATGCTCCCATTCAGAGCGGCTGGAGGTTTGGTGAAGTAGAGGGAGAGGTATAGTGTGCGGCTGGGATGCTCACAGCCAGTGTTGGACTTTCTTACACCTCTTTATCTTCTCTCATCAAGTCCTAAGACACCGTAGGGTCCTGCTGAATTGGTGTGGCCCATAAGGAACATGATAGAATAGAAAGAACCCAGATCTCTGGATCACTACTGGTTCAGCTCCACTGCCCCTTTCTATATTCAGTACTGATCAGCTCTGGATGGAGTCAGTCTTACATCACTGGCCCCAGTTCTGTCCTTAATATATGGTTCTCAAGCTTAGCTAGAAAAGAACCACATGGGAGAGCTTGCTAAAAATGGAGATTCTTGGTATCCATCCATCCCTCAGCAACACGGAGTCTGGAGGATGTGGGGTGGGACCCAAGAATCTGAATTTAACTGGCAATGGAAACAACATTAGGACTGGGTGAGATCATGAATATAAAGGGTTACGCCAAACCACTGTCCCTTGTCCATCCAGGTGTTTTTGAACAAACAGGATGGGACGAGGGGAATCATCCAAGAAATATGATCAGGCTGCTGGGAAAGCAGACCTAAGTGCCACCTCAGTAACTTCTATCACTGCTTCAACGCAAAATATACTCGACTCCCACTCCAGCTTTCTGAGTTTTACTTTTTGGACATGGGTAGCATTTAGTACAGTGGTTCTCATCCATTTTAAGTGTGATCACAAAGCAATTTGAAATTCCCCTGTGACATCAAAGAAAGACTAGGGGACTTGTGGAAAATCTCCCATTTTGTCCTGGCAAATGCAAATGATTTATAATGGAAAACAAAAATGCCAGAGGGTGGGGTAATTAAGCTTAAAATAAACCTCATGCCAGTTGTCCCTTGCCTTTAACAGGCATATTGACAGTCAAGTCAGGCTGGATAGGGATGGAGCACATATAAAGAGTCAGCTTTGTGTGAGACATGTGTCAAAAGTGGGCGTGCCCTGCTGCTCTGGGATGTCACCTACATGGAGCCCAAGGGACTCACACTTGGGACCCACATATAAGAATAAATACAAGTAATGAAAGGAAAATATTTTGAAAATGAATTATGCATGTTTCTCTGTATTTCTTTATTCTCTTTGTCCTTTTGTTTCAAATTTTTCTGATTTTGATCTTACCAAGGACCTCTCTTTAATAGTTAAAATAATATTTTCTTTAAAATTTTATAAACTAGGAAGGAAATTTTAGAAAATAGGGCAAAGAAATATTCATAATCCTACCATCACTTTTTGAGCATTCGAAGATTTTGTCATTTGCAGATACATCTTTACATGTTTGTGATCAGTGTATCTACAATTTTCATCTAATATTGTATCATATGTCTTCCATGCGTTTGATATTTCTTTAAAATTATACTTTTTCTTGTCTAACAGGCAGACTCCCTCATTAATTTTTTATTCCTAGATAATTTACTTGCCTTCAGTTATTTACCACCCTAACTTCCTTTTTGTTAATATAGATAAATTATTTGAAATGTTTGAAATACTTCTAAGATATTTGAAATACTCTAAACATGCAGAAAATTATGGAGAATGATCCAGGAAATACCGATGTACACATCACCTAGAGTTAACAAATGTTCTAATGTTATTTCTAATTATGATGTCAGAGTTTGGATTATGTAATGTCAAGATAAAAGTCTGGACTTCCAGGCATGGCTGCAACTGCAGAAACTGTCATGTTAAGTGTAATCAGCTCTGTTTTCCCAACACAGGTTTTATGATGGGCGACAGCCTGTGTTGGCTATCATGGATCCGGACATGATCAAAACAGTACTAGTGAAAGAATGTTATTCTGTCTTCACAAACCGGCGGGTAGGCATTGGTTTAGTCTTAATTCACAGACTGACTGATTGATGGATTGATTTATATAGCTTTTATTTTGAAATATTTTTAGATTCATAGGAAGTTGTCTCGGGAGGTTCCATGTCCTGTGGCCTTCAGGCTATTTCCCCTTAAGTAATATCCTGCATAACTATAATATAGTATGGAAATGGAAACTGACATTGGTTCTAGCCACAGAGCTTATTCAGATTTCAAGTTTTATGTGCACTCATTTGTGTGTGTGTGTTGCTCTCTGAATATTTATCTTACATGTAGATTTGTGTATCCACCACCCCA